CCACTAGTTGACGGCATGTCGGGACTTATTTCACTGTCTTCGAGCTCAGTGCTCGGAGATAGTCTATTCTTTTTCGCCGATGATATTCTGGAAAAGACCCCACTCCTATCGGGCAGCTTTCGCTTCTTCGTCGCGGGCCCCGCAACAAATGTAAGCGGGCAAGGTAAGCAGGTAAATTCGGGAATATTCGCGGAACGAATCCTTCGACGAGGTCCCACTTTCCTCTTGCGATTTGTACCTTCTTACCATATGACGTGAGTGAAAGTCTTCAGGATGTCCTTCTCATGAAAGAGTATATCACACACACGTGAGGTGCTGAGCAGTTTCTTATCCGCACGAGGAATAGCGTGGTCCCATACCTCTCGCTGCTCAGGTAAACGTGGGCACAAAAGAAATGTTGTGGTGTCTCTCATTTCCTGTAGCTACTCTACAGCCGAGAACGCAACATCTGGGCATGATGAAAACACGCAACACGTACAAAGCAGAACAGGGTGCGCTCAAGCATAAAATTTTTCACGCAGAAAGAAGCCTCCACGAATAAAGACGCACTGCAACATGCAGAGCCGACGGAGGTTACGGGAGTGACATGAGCGAGCATGCAGTGAGTGAATCTGGATGCGACAGCAGCGCCACATTTGTCGCTGGCAGCAGCGGCGCCGCGCAACACCGCTCAGTTTTGCAACTTACCTAGTTCTAGAAACGTTGTTGCGGGCGGCGAATCGTATTTGCGGCTCCGTTTATTGCTGTGTTTCGGTTTTGTTTTGAAAGAAAGATCAAGCCCTTTTGAACTTCGTGAGCCAATTTGAGAAGTAATTCTTACAAAATAAAATGGTGAAGCGCAACCACTGAACATTTGCTAATACTTGTTTCGTAAGAAAACAGCTCCAAGCCACACGAACACACACGGAGCCAAAGGCAGGCCAGAAGTACGAAGATTAGACAAATGTGTACTACCCATGGAGTACTACCCATCATTCCCCTCATTGATCCTTACCCTCATTGATCACCCTCATTGATCAGGCACTACCAGCATTAGTGTACACAGATGATATAGTGCTAATGGCCAACAACAAGGAAGATTTGCAGAGATTGATGGACATCTGCGGTAATAAGGGAGATAGGTTAGATTTTAAATTCAGTAAGGAAAAATCAGCAATCATGATTTTCAATGACAATGAAGGTGGTGAGCTTAGAATACAGGAGGTCACGCTAGAGATAACAGGTAAATACAAATATCTGGGCGTATGGATAAGCAATGGGACCGAGTACCCGAGGGAACACGAAATATACGTGACGACTAAAGGTAACAGGAATGCAGCAGTAATGAAAAATAGGGCACTGTGGAATTACAATAGGTATAATGTTGTGAGAGGAATATGGAAAGGGGTCATGGTTACTGGGCTGACGTTCGGCAATGCGGTCTTGTGCATGAGATCAGAAGTTCTAGCAAGATTAGAAATTAATCAACGTGGAATAGGTAGGCTTGCTTTAGGAGCTCGCGGGAATACACCGAATCAGAGATTACAAGGTGATATGGGATGGACATCATTCGAGGGCAGGGAAGCTAGCAGCAAGATAAAATTCGAGAAGCGATCGAGAGAAATGGGGGAGGAGCGTTGGGCTAGGAAGGTATTCAGCTACTTGTACATGAAGAATGTCGATGCAAAATGGAGGAAGCGAACCAGGAAATTGACTGGTAAATACTTAGAGAACAGCAGGTGGCCAAACCAAAAAGAACTATCGGTTAAGAAGAAAGTGAAGGAAACGGTGACTGACATGTGGAGAATTGGTATGATTAAGAAGTCCGCACTAGATATCTATCGAAATTTTAGAGAAGAAATTGCCAAGGAAAGGATCTATGATAATACTCGGGGTAGTTCTCTACTGTTTGAGGCCAGGACGGGAGTACTGCGAACAGAGACATATCGGGCCAAGTACGAAGGGGTAGACACGGTATGCAGTGCGTGTGGAGAGGAAGAAGAAACTACCGAACACTTGATAATGTTCTGTAAAGGGCTTCACCCTATAGTCCAGGATGATGGCGCAGAGTTTTTCAAAGCACTGGGATTTAGTTACCAGGAGGGCAAAATAGAGGGCAAATAGAATAGGGAGGGCAAACCCATTCTGCAGTTCCCCCAGCACCCCATCATCTTCTATCCATGCCTGCAGTCTTTCCTTTATAATCTGCATCGCCAGCCTGTAGACCACCGATGTCACTGTTATAGGACGGTAGTTATTTATGTCATCTTTGTCCCCCTTTCCTTTATAGATCATGCTCACCCTGATAAGTTTCCATCCATCGGGAACTTCTCCATCGATTATTATTTTGCTCACTACCTCCTTCAAAGTCTGCTTAGACTTCGGACCTAATGTCTTTATCAGCATAATTGGAATGACATCTGGGCCTGTTGATGTACTACTAGGAACCCTTTTCTCAGCCTTGTCCCACTCTTCTTATGAAAATGGAGCCATTGCGCCACTTGATCCATCCTTGTCTATTGTGGTGCATAAGGCACTTTTTTGTTAAAATTTTTCTGTCACCCTTGCTCTTATATATTCAATAGCTTCGTCCCCTTCTAGCCTAGCACATTGAGCTGTAGTTATAAACTTCTGCTCTAGGTTTGTTTAATTTCTTAGGGAGTTTAGATGGTTCCAAAATTTCGCAGCTGTCTTTCTGTCCTTTTTATGTACTTCTGCCAGCCACTGAGCACCCTTTCTGCTAATCTTTTCATTGATCAGGAGGGACGCTTCCCTTCTAGCGCTTAGAAAGATTTCCCATTTTCTTTCAACATCATCTGTCGGTTCACCCCGTTGCTTCGCATGTCTGTGTTCGCTAGGAGCTTCCTGACGTTTTGCTATGGCTCTCTTAACTTCCTCATCCCACCAACTCTTGGGCTTGTGTCTTCCTTTTCGGGGTGACTTGTCACGTGCCTTAGCAAGCCCTAGCCCAAACAGTCTAGTTAGATTTGTGTATGCTCACACAGTTTTGTTATCTTCAGTGATTACTTTCTCAATTTGTTTAGTAGCAATTTCTATTTGCCTTTCTGAATGAAAATTTTCCTGTAGTTGGTCATCTTGTCTTCTTCCCACTTTCGCTGCTCTTCCTAAACTTAGCTCTATACGTTTGTGATCACTACCCAGACTTCTGGAGCCACCTTCATCTATGTGCATTCCCCTGAGCTTATCATAGATCCTATGTGACAACAGTGCATAATCTATCGTTGACTGCAGCCTTCCTACCTCCCATGATATTGCCCCTTCACACTTTTCGGTACCGTTGCAAATTATCAAATCAAGCCTTTCACACATATCCATGATCATTTTGCCTGTCGGGTCGGTAAACCCATCTATATCTTCTATGTGCGCATTCATATCTCCTGTTATAATTATCTCGCACTCTCCTCCTAACTCTTGAATGTCTTTTGATATACACTCTACCATTGCCTGGTTTTCCTCTCTGGCCTTTGCTCCCGTCCACAAGTACACCAAACCAAGGAGTGTCATCTGCCCAGCTACTTTCCCTCTTAACCATAAATGTTCCTGCATCCCTGCTTGACTCTTTGCCAACCCATGCTCTTATGTATAAATCCACCGATTCCACCCCCCCCCCCTTTTTGCTGCCTTGTGTTCTATTGCAATATTCCCATACGTAGTCCGGATTGCAGGGTGGTTGCTCCAGGTCCCGAAGATGTGTCTCCACAACCCCGTATACCATCAGCTCCTCCTGCCTCAACTGCTCTTCTATCTCTTCCCACTTTAACCTATTCCTGCCACCCTACATGTTAATATAGCCTACGTCTGACTTAACTCGGCCCTTGTGCTTACGTCGATTTTTTCTCCCACGGACTCCGTGTGGCGTGGATATTTTTGCCTCTCTAGAACTGTCTTTGGCTACACTGTTGGCCCCAGGGTTCCGGGTCCCCCTAAAAAAGCTGTGGCTTGACAACCCATTCTATTACCGATCCTCCTGCCCGTTGCACCACTGTAGTGAGTGCCATCCTGTGCAAAGGGGCGAGCTCCGGGCTCGTACACGTCTCGGTTAACTTTCATTACGCTGTATCCGAGTTGCCGGCTCAAACCCTTGATCACACTATTGGCCTCTAGTACCCTCCTTTCAATTCCACGAGGCTGCCCCTAGACCTCTGGGACTGTGCATATGGTCACATATGCCCAGCGGCTTTTCGGAGCTTACACATATCCTAACCTCTAACTTTCTCTGAAGGTTCTGATCCTTGCCCTTCAAGACATCATTGACCCCAGCATGAATAATGACTAGATTTTCGCCCTCCATGCTGTTTTCTACAACCTCCTGGGCTTTGGCCAGTGCATCCACCATGTACTTCCCTGACTGTGCCTCCACCTTGACTCTTCAATCTTCCTTCACTGTCTTTAAGACGCCATCCCTAACCCTGGCCACGTTAGAGTCCCCCATCATTAGTGCCCTTCTACGCTCCAATCGCTGTCTTCCTGTTTGTGATGGCGCCCCTGTTTGCTTCACCTGTTTCTCTCTCTGCCGTCTGTCATGTGTTTCCTGCCCTGCTTGAAGACTGCTGCGCCGCCGAGCTGTATGTTCTCGGAGCCTCCATGCTGTGGCCAGACACTGCGGCCCCCCTGACCTGCCTTCTCGCCTGTTCCTTCCCGCCTGTCGCCTTCTCCGCTACCCACGCCTTTCGTCTCACACCGCTCGGGGCCGAGGCAAAGCGCCATTATCTCCTTTACCCGCTGCTCGAGCTCGGTCCTACTTCCCGTTCTTTTCGAAGGTCGCCCTTCATTTGCTCTAATAGGCTGGCGGCAGCCTCCTCCCGCTCACGAGACGCTCCGAGCTCTTTTTGGAGTTCTATCCTCTGCTCCCGTTCCACCCTAAGCTCTCCCTGAAGCCCTTTGATGCTAGCCTCCATGCACTGCACGGCCGCCGTCAGGACAGTAAGGCAGCGCCACCGAGTGGCATCTCGGCAGAGTAGAGGAGAATCGGGAGACCTATTTGACTATTGTCACAGACAGCTGCGCAGACAGGAGTGGCGGTTGCTTGTCGTTGCACCAAAGCATCCGTGGCAGAAAGTAGTCCGTAAACTACGCAACGGTTTTGGCCATCAAGTTACGGAAAGCGCCGGTAGCCATTAGGGCTGTTCGCTGGAGCTGCCGACGTCTTCGTCGAGGGACGCCATCACGACCGTCTGGCAGTTACACCACACATCGGACAAGCCCAAAGAAGAGGGAAAAAGAAAGAAAAAACGCCCGCACTTGGTGTGTCCGTGTGTGTGTGCCGTCGGTGTGGTGGTGCCTGCGGTGGCGGCGGCCGCAGCAGCAGCAGTGCAGGATGGCTCGTTCAGCGCTGCTGTCTCCTTGTGGTCACCGGGACTCGCATCGGTGATCGTCGTACTGCTCCGGCAACATCATCACCACTGACGTGTGCCTAAGCCTATAAGTGTGTGTGTGTGTGTGTGGTTTCGGCTCCGGCCGCGCACGTTGCTCGGTTGTCGGGCACCAAGAATGATGGATTCCACGACAAATCCAGGTGAGCGACGTATTTCGTGCCCCGCCTTCTGTGTGTCAGCCCGTGTTAGAAAGAGCCACGCGAATGTTCTCGCCAGAATGCCCTGGGAGTCTTGTAGTACCCACATCGGCGCCACAGTCGTGCCCTTCGCAGATGTTGTTCCCGAACATATCTCGTGGTCAAGTGGCCGATTAGTGACGCACCTTCTCGTAATGCACCCGACCGACTCGTCTTCTATCGTGCAACGTCTTTTCTCATTCGAACAGCTTTTGGTTTTGTTCGTCAGTGACTCACCGTACCGTTGTTGGGCTTGTTCAACTTTTCTGACATATTTCACGTTCTAGTTATCGCTTGTGAATGTGCATTTGCTTTCATTTAGATTTGTATTGTTCACATGGGTCATCTGGATTTTGTTTGCTCTTTTGTCACAGTGCCTTGAGAGTCCGAGAAACCGCGGCGCAGCAGATGTGTTGACCCGTTTGGAATGCTGTTGTAATAAGCAAAAATAAGGGAAGTCCAGTCTAGACGGCGATAAGCTCACTTGACAATGACCTGGTTTTCGGCACAGTCGAGAGTTGACGGCCTTCGTGATCTCGTTTTAAAGCGCAATATTTTTGAAACATGGCCGGTGCGCTACTAGTAGTATTTACAACCGTGTGTGCTGTCACCCACTTGGTATGTACAAGGCGTGACCGAGGTGTCATGCACAATACGTCAACTCAGCAGAAAATTCCTCTTGCATTTGCTCTAAACGAGCTGGTATAGTATCGGCCATAACATGCTGTTTTTTTTTTTTTTGTTTATAACTCAATGAAGGCGCTTGGTGGTAGCCGTACCTTGCCATCCGGATTCCAGAAAAGAGATTGACGGAAAAATATATACTTCTCCTTTGTATGGCGAAGTCCTTTCTTACTTCAGAGGCAAAGCTGCTGATGGTAATTCAGTTTTTTCCTTCGAATTTGAATTGTACGATTTAGTGGGAATCGCAGTTGAACATGCACAGTGGTTGCAAAAGTTCACTACAGCTATTCATTTCCTCGGGTCGAAGTTGCTGTTATAAAGAGCTAAGACGAACTTGCTAATGATGAAAAGCAATTGTCGGTTAGCTTATTAAGGGCTGCAGTGTAAGAAGTGAAATAGCCAGGCCACAATATTCCATTGGCTGTGAACATTGTACACTGTGAATTCAATGTAATGTAGCAGCAGCTGATTGCTTTCCTGTGATTACTCAATGGCAACTCAGTTATTGGTAACTGCAACCAGCTGAAAATTCTCTGTGATGTCTGGTTATCATCTACAACTGAGCCTATCTTTTGTTAGCTGAGTTACATTTTAAGTTCCGTAATGATTGTCATACGTTGGTGTCCATTCCGGCCATATCTCGTCAAGGACCATTTCTTCTTGTGCCTAATATCAGGTTGCCACTGTTCTTCCCGCTACTGATTCTGTGGTCTTCGAAACTCTTGCCTGTTGTTTTCTGTCCCATTGGCCCGCTCTTCAGTTTTTTGCATTAGGGACACTTGAAGGTTTGAAAACATGTACCTTAATTCGGTGCTTTTTGTTCTATCAATTTTGAAGTGAGGCTCTAAAATTTCAGGGAAGTGCTAGGCGGTAATGTGTTGGGAAATGTGCTCAAGGTCACCTTGACAAATGGCAAGAATGCACAGGGCGAGCGGCACGAGCATGCTCAAATTGAACTGAATCGCTGCTCCTGTATTGATTGATTTGTCAAGCTGTTCCAAAAAGCTTACATGGCATAAAAAGCCCTTCTTTATCTATAGCTGGCGCACAGCAAAAATGAATGAAACTGGGGTTTGATTCCTTCGATTCGAGGGTGAGTGCCCTGAACGCTGGGCCACATGCCAGCTTGAACCGAAGTGTACAATGGACTGTACCGATGACACAGTACTATTCGGTCAGTGTGAAGAAGACTGAGAAAGCAGCACAGCTGGTAGAGCTTCTTTCTGTCCCACGCCAGACTGATCGGTGTTGTGGGGGCGAAGCCGAAGAAGAAAACGAAAAGCTTTGCAGCTTCACTCTAACAAATGAAAGCTTGCTCCGGGCACTTCTTAGAAACATTTTGTGTTGGCGGACTAAAAGGATCTGCTGGCATAGGGTAGACATGGAGCGTTCTTAAAATATTCTGACCTTTAGAAAACTAGCATTTTCATTGGTCGTTTAGAGGTTGGCACATGTGACTCATTAAGCTACAATGTTGCATTGCCAGCCGGTTCTGCTTACACATTGCTGGAATAGAAGGTATGTCTGTGATGAATGCTAATGTTATGAGGTGAAACCGACAATTTGCATGCTACTACTCAATGCTTAAGTTTTACAACCTGAGGCTTGCCTCAAGGTGTTGGGAAAGAATTACATCGCTGACTGCCTTGATGCATAGTGTCTGCCGAAATTTTCTGGGGGTGATTTTTTTTCTTACAGCTGGAACCAGTTTACTTCAATACACAAATATAGCAGAAAAACTTCATCTTTGCTGCATTATTTGCTACATTGTTTTCAAGTACTCACTGATGAGAGAGGTTTAATTTGATGCTGTCCTGCAATGATGCAGCTGATAATCATTTGCCTAATGTCAAGTGCCACCCTGTAAAGGTGTCAAATTGATACATTAATTCGAGGCACTCGATACTCGGTTGTTGGAAAAAAATAAGGCCATAATGGGCTACTTTATGTGTGTTATAGTTAGTAATCCCAATTAAGCTGTAATAATGAAATATGAAAAATCAAAAAGATATAAAAATATATATATCTGTATTCAAGTCATTAACACTGTTTTGGCATAAATAGAATCAAGTCAAAGCATAAGACTGGTTAGGGTCAAAGCGTAAAACTGGAGGTCAAAGCGTAAGACTGGTTACACACTATGACTACAAGGGACGAACGGGTGCCGCTATAAGAAGCTTCGCCCCTAAAATGCTTTGGGGAAGACGGAACGATGCCTTCATATCAAGGAAGGTGTAAAGGATCACCACAACCTGATTTAGACAAGCCTTTTACGGATGCTGAGATAAGAGCAGTCATATATAGTAACAAGAAGAACACAGCAGTGGGTGATGATAAAATTGCCAATGTTATCATCAGAAACCTAAATGATGAAGCCATTAAAGCTTTCATAAAATACACAAACAAATATTGGCTTGCTGGAACTGTTCCACATGAATGGAAACATGCGATTTTGGTCATGGTGCCTAAACCAGGAAAAAAGTCGTCATCCAGAACATGAGACCTATCTTGCTCACGTCCTGCTTAGTAAAAATCTTTGAAAAGCTGGTGAACACCAGGCTCCTCAATATTCTCGAGAACAATAACCTCATGCCCGACGCCATGTTTGGCTTTTGCCCACATCTTTAAATGGAAGATGTTCTACTACTTTTAAAAGAAGAAGTATTAACGGACATTCCTAAGATTGGGGAAAACGTCATTATGGCAGTTTACTTGAAGGTAGCCTTTGATAACATCAGTCACAAAGCAATACTAGAAGGTCTGGAGGAAGCTAACTGTGGAGAACGAATATTCGAATACGTCAAAAGTTTTCTTAGTCACAGGACTGTAACAATCAAGCTGGGAGATGACGAATTCGACATCATTCGACCTCCAAGCAAAGGAGCACCCCAAGGAATGGTCATTTCACCGACACTTTTTAATGTCGCCAAGACAGGCCTTGCATTAAAACTCCAAGTTATTGCTAGTCTACAACATGCAATGTATGCAGACGATATCACGGTATGGACAACCACAGGCAGCCTAGCAGAGAAAGAAGATAGGTTACAACAGGCAGCTAGCACTATAGAAAAGTATGCAAGGATCCAGGGTCTTCAGTGCTCAGCTGAAAAGTCTGAGCTCATTTGTTTCACTAAAGAAAAGCACGAATGATCGACCCGAATTCAAAGCTGGAAGTCAGGCTCGAAGGAAATATTATTCCGGAGAAAGATACCGTACAAATACTAAGAATGTGGCTGCAAGCTAATCAGAAATGTCTGCGCACACTAAATGAACTCAAAACATCGGTACAGCAGATCTCACGCATGATCTCGCGTATAACGCACAACCGTATATAAAGGCATGAGAGAACAAGATACCCTCAGATTGATCAAAAGCCTCATCATCAGTCGTGTTACATGCTCGCTTTTGTATAACAGGAAAGAAAAAGAGAAAGCAAACCAAATAATTAGAATGGCCTACAAGACAGCCCTAAGATTACCGTGGAATACTTCAAACGACAAGCAACTGGCACTTGGTCTTCATAACACAATTGAAGAATTATCTGAGGCCCAGCTCTAGCACAACAAAATTGCCTTCTCCAGACCCCATCTGGCAGAGCAGTCCCTAACAAAACTAGGGCACTATACATTAATACAAAAACACCGAGAAACTATAGAGGTACCAAGCGAACTTAGAGAATGGTGCACCATATTGCCAATAGCAAGCAACAGGAATCCTACTCTGCAATGCTGGCAGAAGAAAGGCAAGGGCTGACCACATTAACAAAATGACAAGATTTTTGAACACGGCCAGATTCACCGACGTTGTGCTTTATCAGACCGATGCAAATAGAGCTGGGTGTGTAGTCGCCGACCGTAGAGGAAAAATTACAGCCTGTGCTTCGATAGATCAGGCCGTCGACAACACAAGCAGAAGAGGTCGCCATAGCATTCGCAATAAAAGAGGGATGCGAAACGCTCCATTAACAATCATTACAAGTTCACAAAAAGCTTGCAGAAACTATTTCAAGGGCAAAATTGGCACAGGTGCTCCGGATATTGATTGGGACAGGATGGAACCCCACAGTAAAATTTGTACAGACTGTGACTTGAGCACTGAGGGCAGTGACAGGGAACCTGCATGCGGACAAGGCGGCTCTAGGCTTCACAAATCACCGAGCTATTCAAGACGATTCTTAAGTATTACAGGGAAAATAGGCAGCTCTATCCATGTCCACATAGAAAGCTCAGCGCTGTGGAGGCGACAGCGCTAAGAAGAATACAGACAAACACTTACATAAATCTGCGCAGTCTTCACATGATCTATCCCACGGCGCACAGAGACACATGCCCGTGGTCTGGAGCCACCCCAACACTCTTCCACATCACGTGGGAGTGTGCAGAGCACGACAAAGAACACGACATTAATGGCACATGGGAGGCGCTGCTGTCTAGCCCAGCCCTGGTGGATTAGGTGCGACTGATCCACAGAGCTGAACAGGTGGCTCGTGCCAATGGGGCCCTGGAGTAGGGCCACCACCATGCCAGACAGACTGTTTTCCACACTGTATATTCCTCGGGGCACTGGAGCCTGTCTGGTTTATGTATATAATAAAGTTTGTACCGATCTTATATTACTGGTGTTATCTCAATTGGTGTTTAGAGCTTTTGTCACTTCCTTTAAAGAATAAATTTTTGGAGTTATCCATCCCCTCTGGTGAGCATGCACTGCATCTCTCTGGTATGAAGACCCAAAGTTAGCCTGCATTTTGACCTGTGTGCAGTGGTAGCAAAACTTTTTTCCACTTGGGGCTCGCCTGACCTGGGTATTTTCATAGAGGTTTTAGGGTTGCCCTCCTCCAAAGTCTTCCCAAAGTATGTCAGGCATTTTCTGCTGTGTCAAGGGCTGTTCGAATGAGGCAGCGAGCAGGCTAGGTATACTTATATGTGGTGCAATGTGTGCATTGCGGCTACCAACTTAAATGCACCATCATCCTGATCATTTCAGAGGCTTCTGGTATTCACAAACTGTGTCGTGTGTGTGAACCTGTGATCTTTTTTTGCTCCTTGAGAACAAGGTGCCTTTTATGAGTGACTAAAACAACATTCTGTGGCCTTTTCTTGGCCAGAATAAAACACTCGTTTGTTGGTTGGCACTGTCCCCTCTTTTTTTAGGTCCCACTTGTGCTGTGATGGTGCATTAACTGCTTTTTTGGTAACCATAGAAGCAAGGTGTCCTGTGCTGTATGTAGTTACTGTGCAATTTAAGAGAGTTGCCCACACTGTCAAATGCTTCAAGAAGTGCCTGTGCCAAATGGGGGCTCCCTAAAGAGTAGCTGAAAGATTTCGGGGCAGAGGAGGAGTGTAGCGGCGTCTCTATGAAGAATGTCAAGGTCCGTTGGGATGTGACGCAGTTAGGCTGCCACCATTGTTCTCATTAGTGACAGGCCTTTGTGTTTGCTAGAGTACACATTCAATTCTTTGTTGGGAGGTGCGAGAAAATGGCACAACCTGCATGCACAGGATTATTATTTTTTCCACATTCATTTATGCTCAGAAATTGTCTGTGATTTTTCATTTACAAGCCTTTCTTAATTTTCAGCTGGGACAGTACCAATTTTGACAGATATCTAAATGATCTGCTGTGATACAAAAGGCTGGTGTAGCCTTATGTCACTAGCAATGTATGACCCTCCAGGAATTGACACTTGCATGTGCACATACAAATCTGCATGCACATTAGCACCGCATTGCAAATTCTTTTAAATAATGAGTCCCTAGGATGTATGCCTGATCCTCTTGTAAAAATGCACTGCTAAGGCAAGGACATCAGGCGTTGTGCTCCTGTGCAGGTTCACAAAGCTTTCTCCCCATTGAAAAAGGAAAGACACTAGGAGCATGAAATGGTAATTCAGGTGGTCGTTATGTTCAAAACAAGTTAGATATCGTGCATGTGCCAGTTATCCCACAAGCTTTTGTGCTCCTTTACCAACTGTTTTACAAACTAATTTGGACAATTCTGTATTGTAAATCATTGTGACATTTCATAAGAACAGCACAATGGTTTGCTGTGCCGACATGTTCTTGCCTCACGTGGGGCTGCAGTTATATCATCTGGTGAAATCGGGGCATCACTTTGTTTTTGTTGCATTATGATCAGCAATAGCACATTTGTGAATGTCCTTTTTCACTTAGCACTGTTTAATTGCAGCCTGTTGGTCCATACCAGGTAAACCAGTCTGCTACATTCTGGGGGAGTATTTGGGACTGCTGGTTAGTTAGAGTAATTGTATTTAACGACCAGTGGTGAAGCACTTTGTTATTGTCACAAAAAAATGTATCTGCTTATTTAAAAGTTTCAAGGAGTTTCGCTCAAGCGGATCGAATTGATATAGGCTAGTAAGAAGACAACAAATGGTTGTCCTGTTTTATGCGTAACTGTAGCAAATATCGATTGGCTTGTGAAACAATAAGGTTGAACATTTTGTGCATAGTTCAGAATATTGTACAAAAATATATTTCATGTTTCATTAATATCTTGATATCTCGGGTTCAAAGGACAACTTCTTCAGTGTACTATGGTATGCCTCATAATGATACAGAGTTTTCGATATGTTATACCCTAGGTATTATAATTGTTATTATTTCAGACCCTTGTCCAGACCATGTTAACAGTGCTTGTGACATTTTCAAATGTCAGACCAAAAGTCGATGTTGATTATGGTTTTTTAGCAGAGCCATCCGAGACTAATGTTTAGGGTGGCATGCATTGTCCTGTATTGACGGATTGAAAAAAGGGACAATTGAGTACTGAATAACACACATACTTTGTTTCCGCTGGCATCAATTCGGGTTATATTGGTGTAAATTCAACTGTAATGTGTAGAGACTAGATTCAGTCGTAACGTCACATGTCGAGCAGTTGTACAGACCAGTCAGCATAGCAAAAAATTTAATGTTGCACTTGGATCTGTGTGCATTCCCTACTGATTAGAAATGACCTCAAATGAGGAATAACCGAGAGCTGTTTTCTACAGGTGTGTAGTGAAGCATTCTTCTCATCTAGCATTTTTGCGTAAAAAGCGCTTTGTTTTTTCTGGCATTGTTACATTCCTTCTAAAGACATCGATGGAGGGCTGATTGTCAGTTTACTTGTGCAGCCAAAGAGAACTGTATTGTTTTGACATAAATGATGTAAATATGTTCAGGCTTTCTTCAACTAACACGTTGTTGAGACTTGTCCGAGGTGTGTAGACTTGCAAAGACATAGTTGACCACATAATCCGTGCGAAGGTATAGGAGGGACTGCTGGGGTAGGCAAAGCATCTTGACATTGAAAAGGGATTTGCTTGGCACAGCACACTTGACCTTTAGTTTCACACCACTCGCTTTTTTTCATTATATATTACACTGATGTGAAACACTTAAACATACAGCCAAGACATTTTACTTGCTGTTACTGTTAATAATTGCTTTTGCTTCTTCTGGATATTTCATTTTCTTGGAACCATGTGGAAAAATTATGCCTAATATTGACTTATTATTTACATCACCAAGAAGTGTCTGAGAAAATTAAAAAGAATTCGCTGAAATTTCTTGGCTGCATAGACGGCACGGAGTTTATCAGGCAGGAGTGCTGAGGTGTGGCTCAAATGCGAGTTACTAAAGTATGTGCAAGTCCCAAGAAAGGGCTCTTGGAATGTCAAGGGCACAGTTTAAAATTATGTAAGCAGTTATGCTACAACTAAAGTGAGTCAAGCCAAGTACCTTGTATCAAGTGGGTTATTGAAGGTTACTCCCACGTGTTGTTTGCTCTATATTTTCTGCTCTTCCACCCATCCATTGCAAGTTGTGGTGGCCGCACTAGGTGTTAGCGACCACCAGTTGCTGCCACTTACCCAGTTGCTTGTATGGGCTTTCATGGTACAAATGCCCTTTAAAGATGATAGTCTTTCTTGGGATACTTCAATGCAAATATTTTGGTTTGTCTAGTCTGTTGGCCATTCTGTCCAACCACTTCAACCACCAGGTAAAAGTTTAATCTCTTGCTCAATGCCCACAATGTTTATCTGGTGGCTCCGTTCATAATTGTCAACTTTGTCAATCGAAAAAGAAATGTTACACATATTTGAGGTGTAACATCAATACATATGTGTTAGGCAGTAGTGTCTTTTTATTTAGAAAATGCACAGATATGCAATTCTAATTACCGAAGTGTTCATTACACTGCGCTGACAATGTGACGCTATGAAACAAAAAGCGGGTGTTTGCTACGCTTCGCTAAAAAAAGGCAGGTGCTTTAAAATGCCTCAGTACTGCACCTACCAGTGGCTCTGTATTCTAAACAACTTTCATTTCTTCAAATTACTGCCAGATGGCCCCACATCTCCCGCAGCATCTCCAGACAGATTATTGTCTTTCAACGCCCTTTGCAGCAGCGCATACAAATATGCGGTCAATTTTTTAATAAGCCAATCTGATCTGTTGCAAAAATGCCATCACAAAACATTATTGTGTTCTGATATGGGCTGCTGAAATCTTAGTTTGGTCTGTAATGATGATTATGCTTAACATCTTTTGAGCATCTTTTGGTCTGTAAAGAGTGTGAAGGACTTATGCAGTCCAGGCTTGTGAAGCATAAATGACTCAATTGTGCACAGTGGGGCCGGTCGACCGACCACGGTGACTGCAGGCGGCCAATGCCTGGGACAGGTTGTCACTGGCTGGACATGCTGAGGGGCAACAGGCAGCCGAAGGAGCAGCCTGACGAGTGTGGCGAGCCCAGCCGGAGGCCTTGTAAGGCCAGGCAGCAGCCGCCGCCACCGCCCTCGGTACGGCAGCCGGCCGCTCGTCGCCGCACGCCGCCTGATGGCGGCCCTAGTCGGCGGCCGGCGGCCAGCTCGACTCGTGCTAGACCTGAACTGGCGGTGGCGGCACGAGGATTTCGCTACGTGACGGTGCAGCAGCGCCGTACGGCGCCCCGGCGAGCCGGCGAACTGGAGGACACCGCAGTGGTGGACTCCTCCTCCGCAGTCGTTGACGATGAGCGGCGCGACAGTGAGCCACTGGTGATGGTGCGTGATGGTGATGACACTCTCATGCTTGAGAGTAGGCCCGAGGATGGTGCCGCTTTGGAAAAAGCTGCATCGGCCATCGTGGTCAGTGCCGACGAGGACGTCCAGGCCCGGGACACGTCGCCCGATGGTCGTTTTCTTAAATTTGAGGAAGAAATTGGGCGTGGATCCTTCAAGACTGTGTACAAGGGATTGGACACCGCCACAGGGGTGGCTGTCGCCTGGTGCGAATTGCAGGTCAGTGGTGCGGCTGGCTTACTTGATTGTCTGACCGGACAGTTTTGAAGAGTGCTAGTATTAGCAAAGGCATGCAAGCTGCAGTTAAACAAGAACAGATGACAACAAGCACTCATTGAAATGTTTCAGAGATCTTTACATATCCCCAAGAAAGGCATAATTTCACGTGCTGTGAATGGAATGAAGGAGAACCTGTGCAATGTTACACATTGCAGTACCGTTTTCACAATGCTCGTTTCACCCGATTTGTCTCTCCTATGCTTGTAGAACAAAAAACATGCACTGCACTGCACACTTCATGAAAAGCATATAATTGGGACCATTAAGTGAATCAATTAACTACAGTTTCTTGTGCTGGTTTTTTGTGTAAGGTACAGTATCTCGGTGCCCCTGTAAACATTAAGAGAGTTTTCAGTATTGGCAGTCACTGGCTAAATGAAATGAGGCAGTGCAACACGGAAAAATTGTGAGCATTATTTGCTTTAGTCATGATAGGTGAAGCATAACCAAGAGAACTAATATGCCACGATATTTATTTATTTATTTACTTATTTCATAATACTGGAGGCCATGACAGGCACAAGTAGATGTGGAAACACGTGCACACGCACACAGACACACACGCATAAAACTAAACTAATAAAGACATCAGGATTACAGATTTGTAACACAATTAGCAATCAACAGGCATTCAGGAATAATGTGTGCTATTGTGAGAAATGTGAGCTCAAACACGCAAGCGCAGTGGCAAATAGCCTCAAAACTGAAATAAAGTGATATGTGGATGGCGCTGCCAAAACCTGATGGGAAAAGAGGGGTGCTCTTCCACTCCCGCTTCACTAGCATTGCGGGCAAACAGCATATAGTTGCGTGAAATCTGTCGCTAGCGATGATAATGCCAAGAAGAATGCACAAAAAGCAAAGTAAGTGTAAAAGGTGTATGAAAATTTGCAGCGAATACCACCTTCAATAAAATAAGGCAGCCTACGTCACAGTCGATACTAAAGCAGCTATATATAGTCTGATAGGGTGTGTAGGTTATTTAGTTCATATCACCGCTGGCAGCCACAAATATACAATGAGCTGCCGCATCGACGATACCGAAGAGGGAGTGTCATCAGGTACCAGAAGTGCATCGCCCTTCCCACTTTCCTTCCGACAATGGCCGCTGCGAATAAGCCAGTGTAAGGTGTGTTTATATTTGCCACGCGTTCACGTGTTCGAACTCCTATCGCTAACGATAGTATGTACAAGTGTAAAAAAAAAAAGAAAAGAGGAAAAAAATACTACAACAACAATCTTTTCAGTGCCTCTTAAAAGTTCACCTTTTCAAAAATGTATTCAGGAAGGGCATTCTAGTCGGAAATCGTTTGTGGAAAAATGCTGCTTTTAAATGCATGAGTTTTAGCAAAGATAGGTTTCAAAGCAGTAGTCATTATTGTGTGGAGCTTTCCTGGTGTCTAAGGACTTTACATATGAAGGTGTAGGCATGATATGCAAGAAAACTATACCAGCATATATTTGGTGAGTTTCTAGTGTAGGGATTTCATGTTCTTAAATAAGGAGAGTCAAATCTTTATATTTGCCAAAAATTAATCCCTTCCTTGGCATAATCTCAATATTTTGTATATTAGTTTCCAAATGCTAAATTACTGAAGCATACTCTAATTTATGTCTTGTGTACAATACTCTTGTGTAACTTTAGCTTTGTTGGAACTTTGCTGCAGTTTCCTTCGTACAACATTTAAACGCTGATTCACTTGTTTTCTATATATGACATGACCAGGATAAGATAGAAGTTAGCGTTGCTCCTATATACTTTTTACTGACCTGTGCTTTTCATGGTAACAAGAGTATAGGTATAAGAACTAGGCAGCAGTTTATGTGTAACTGTTAATAACACTGTTTTTCGGACGCTACTTCTTGTGTTCCATGTTACATGCCACTGCTCTACCCTCGATAACTGGTCTTGTACAACAACAAAATCATTCTCTCACAACAAAATCATCAGTAAAATGCTTTACACAGACCACAGGAATGCTACTGCTGCACCAATTACGCCTAATTGCCCTGGCTGTTACACCCTGCTATATTTCCTCAATATTTGTTGAGTCTGCGCCAAGCCTGCTCCAAAGGTTTTGCTCAGACTTTCAGAAAGAAAACTACTTGAGGTTCTCCCATTGAAAGTAACTTCGCAGTGGACCTGTGTAGGACACAACCAGAGCCAAGCCAAACTGGGCCAAATGTCACTGTTGGGATGCAGTTAATGACCAATTTTTCTGACTTGTTAGGGGCTGTTAAATCATCCGATAAAAGATTTACGCCTTTTTATTACGCTCACGTAGTGAAGTCGCCACAGCCATGTCCTGAAATATAGCTTTAATGCCTCCCACAGTACACTTCTCAGGCATTTAGGAGCACACTCTCATAAATACATTCGAAACTCGCTGATGTCCATTTGCAAATTTGCGTCGTGTGATGAGCGCTGCCGATACCAGTAAAGCGTGGAATAAATTGCGGCTTTATCGCATGGAGCGTGCGAAAGCGATAACGCAGAATGTATAGGGTGTTGCAGAAGAGAGAAATATTTGTCCAGACCTCCGGGATGAGTGTGTGCCCTCAGGAAGATGCGCCACTGTGCGAAAATCTCCTGGCGACACATAGCTAACGCTGCCACATAAGACTGATAGTTCTTAGTTGTGTGCAGGACATCGTGAACACAGCTGAAGCCGTTCTTACTGGGGCACTTTCGTACACACATGTTTGTCTTGAAAATGTGTTATTGATGCCCACTATGTTCCTGATGGTGAGCTGTTTTCAGTTTGTGACAGCACCACGTCTGTGCGGCGCACTTAGCCGACTTGCACAAAAAGGCAGTGTGGATGGCAACGTGGCGCGTGTGGCCAATTAAAAGCTCCCAGTACGCTGACAACTGTGCCACATGGAGTATAAACAGTTAGATTAAGTTACTTATCATCAAGCGATTCTTACTCGAACATTTGCCTCACTGCCGCCATCATGCCTCCGTGCATTTCTGGTGCTTATCCGTAGACATCACCTCACTGTGGCATAATACCGGCCCCTTTGGTTTTTTTTTTTTAAATCTGCTTCATCCTGTAGCATTGATGCATTGTGGCAAAGCCGACTTTGGGACATTGCTGTGACGTCGAATGACTCTTCAAAGCGCTTGTTTAAGCCTACAAGGTCATAGACGTAGCAAATGAGGGGGGGGGGGGGGGGGGCTTTAATGCTGTTTCAGACTTAGCATGTTGGCTGAAAGCCCAAAAAATCGGCGCCGAAGAGTTTCAGTGTTCAAAATTTCAGATGCTCTTGTTCATAGACGTGCATAAGGCTTGTGATGTTTTTGTGAAATCATTCTAATTTGTTAGTGACTAGAGTATAAAGTTGGGCATGTTGGTAAGACATAGTTGATCGATGTAGCGCGTTTAGAAACATAGGACAAGGGAAGGGACAGAAGTGAGCGCTTACTTCCAACAAAATCTTTATTTCGAGGAGCGTACATATATATGCTCACGAAATTCGAAGACAACAGATACTAAACAGATGAAAAACCCTCTATTGCCATGCGCTAAAAACTTATGATCTCAAAAACGACAATTCTTTTTCACAAAGACCGAGAGAAGGAGTGCTGACGCAGTTCAGCCCTAATCTACTAATCTTTTCTGCTTCAATAATCTCCCTTGTCACTTTATTTCTGTTTTTTCCTATGATTACCGTACCATGCAAAAGTGGTTTACAGCCACACGTGCTGCAATGTAGTGCCAAAAAACCATCTCGACCATTTCTTACGTTGCAAGTGTGTTCGCGGAGCCGGTCATTAATGCACCTGCCAGTTTGTCCTATGTAGTATTTACCGCATGAAAGAGGTATCTGATATATTACAAATTGCGCGCATGTGACAAACAGTGTTAAGTGCTTTTTAGAGCATCCCGCTTTTGCATGTGAAACAACTTTCATACACAAGTACGAGAGCTTTTTCGGGGCAGAAAACACCACTTTTACATTGGCCCGCTCCCCAACCTTTTTCAAGTTGTGGGAGATTCCATGCAGATAAGGCACTACGGCAAGCTTCTGATGTCTTACTGGCTCATCATGAGGGAGAGCTTGCTGCAAGGACTGAAGCTTCTTGACCAGAATACCCGCGACGAAAACCTGTACGTGAGAGGGGTAGCCAGCGTCCAGAAGTCGTTCTGCTTGTTCCTTGAAACTAGCTGCCATCAGATGTGGACAAGACCTCTGTAAGGCGTTACTAAAGCACATGTTTAAAATGCCTCTTTTTACTTGCTTAGTATGGGCGGAGTGGTACGGAGCAAGGGTTTGTTACTCCTCGGCTTGTACATCCAACAAATGTGGTCTAGGTGAAAAATGAGAGCGATATCTAAAAATCTGAGAGTGTTATTAACAGGCAACTCATGGGTTAAAACAAGGGGACTGAACCGCTCCTTGATGAAGTTGAAGATATCTAGGGCACAAAAAGTGGGGACACAGTCAAGAAGAATGAGGAAGTCGTCAACAAATCTAAAGATGCGCATGATTCGGTTGTCACTAAGGTCACCGGAAACGGTTCTGTCGAGCTTGGCTAAAAACAAATCACTTAAGATTGGAGCAATACATGATCCAATACAAATGCCCTCCTTTTGAAGGTGGGGCTTCCCGTTCCATTGAATAAAAGTAGATTTCAAATAAAAGGATAAAAGTTCTAAAAAGCTACTAGACGATATACCAGCACTATTCTGAAATGTTATGCTACCAAGCTTGTCAATGCACTCTTCTACACAACTAAGAATCGATTTGTGAGGCAACGAATAATACAGATCTTTTACATCAATGGAAAAACCACACATGTGCTGATTCGAACGGGGTCGGACGAAATCAAGAACTTGATGGGTATTTTTCACGAGAAATGGGTCATCTGCTGTTAATAGACCAAGCTTACTTTGTAAAAACAACGCAACATTTTTTTGCCACGTGTCATTTTC